AACCATTCCCCTCCCCATTCCTGCCTCTCCCCCCTGGCCAGACACCCTACCCCTACCCTATTCCTGCACCCTACCTCCCACCCAGACCTCACCTCTCACCTCCTCCTGTACCCCACCTCCTGCCCAGTTCCTGCACCCTCATCCCACTCACTAACAGCCCTGTCCCACACACTGAACCCTTCATTTTGGCCCTACTCCAAAGCCTGGGGGGGGTCCTCAAAATCCATTAACCTAGAAGAGTTAATCTGGCCTATGGGAAGCCCTGAACCTCAGTCTTCCTTGTCCCTTCCCCTCGCCCCATGGGGCTGGAGCACCAGAGGAGTGAGGTGTCTCAGTTGGGGGCCACATCAGTAAGGGTTGGAGGGAGGGGAGTTGGAGGGGTTTTTATGTTTTGTGTATGTGTGGTTCCCAACTGATTTTTCTGTAGGTCAGTGCCCCGACCCAAAAACGGTTCCCCACCCCTTCCATAAATAAAGACAATGTTGAAACCTTTTGTATTGGACAAAAATTAATATTTTACTTTATTTAAAATAACATCAGAAAATTAAATCACTTAATCTGTTTAATAATTTCAATTATTATTTCCTTCCTGATGGTTAAATTAAACTGTTCTTTTAGCTACAGCACTAGGAGAATGACTCGGGCGTAATTATATAATTAACGTCAAGTTTCCATTAGCAGCTGGTGGTCCGAGGAAAGGTTTGTGTTGACCCGGGTGGGCCATGGGCCAAAAAGTTTGAGAACCACTACTCTATACGTTCCCAATCATCTCTGCAGGTGACTTGCCCCAGCACCTTCAAGTGATGATCAACCTTCTGCGCTGTGAGGACAGAATCAAATTGGTAAGAGAACCTACAATTTCTTCCCTTCTTTCAGCTGGAGGAGTCTGAAATAGTTCTGTAAAATAGCATCATGATCAGGGGTATTTCTAACAAGACCATGCTTCTCTTTTAAAGTAGGTAAAGAATCTTTTATTAAAACCCTGCCCATTTGGGTAATGCAAACAGCCACCAATCTGTAGAGAATATGAAATGTCACATCAGAAGGGAAAGGCCTGAATTACCCCGGGTAGAGTCACTGCAACACTGCATTGTAAGAATCATAAAAAGAAAGGGATGGAAGAGCCCTCTTAGTGCCTTCCTAAACTCCAGTTGGTACAATTATCAACTTTGTTACTTAGTCATTTTTTTTAAAATCCCATTTATTTTCCCCTCAGATGTCCCCTTGTAACAAGTTTCAGAATGGTCACAGGTAATCTAGGCAAAGAAACTGCACTTCCACTGCATTCCTTCCCTCCATGCCTATTAGGCTTTTGGTTAAACTAGCAGTTAAATGTGTGCAAAGACAGGATGGACCGTGTCTTTCTAGATGTTTCTCTAGCAGCTAATGCCATGGAGCCCGATGATGATTGAGGTGTTTGGGTCTGACTGCAATACAAATAATGAACTCTAATGCTAATGGTAATAATGATCATTGACAGCAGATTTGCAGAGCTATGTTGCCCTGTTATAGGCTGTGCGCTTGGAAAGTGCGTGGACAGACCGAGTCAGGTACATGGTCGTTGTGTATAGCAGTGGGCGACAAGACACAGAAGAAAACATTTTACTGGGAGTGGACTTTTCCAGCAAGGAAAGGTAAGTCTGGGATACTTCTCTTGTGGCACGGTGTTACGACATCTCCTAGTTCATATAAAGCGAAAGGACATGATGTTGTAAAGGGTTTCAAGTCACTGCAAACAGATCCGGGCAAAGTACTGTGTGCACAATCCTTTATAGCTCTGTGGTATCTGACTGTCCTGCAGCCAGTTAGGTAGTGAAATGTCTAATGGCCCCCAGCTATGTCTGCAGTTACTTAGAGCTGCACAACTGGAGGATGCTTTTTCAATCAGGACCAAAGTGGTGTTAATGTTCCAGAGCTGGACAGTGATTGATCTGGATGAATTTCTAAGTAATATAAAGCTACTGCAAAGAACAAACACACTCCTACTGGTGATAGATTGGGGATTTAGGTCTAGCTATTTTCTTGCTTGAGTTCTTCTGGCTGGGATATATTTTCTGACAAGTATGCTTAATTTTCCCATAGCCCCATGAAATATTAAGTAATTTTCAGAATCTTCATGTTCTTCCCATTTTATAGATGAAGAAATAAAGACAAAGAAGTCATTACTTGCCTCAAGGACACAAGCAGAGTGCGTGGTAGAGAATAAGGACACTTGATTTTGTCTAAGGACCAGCCAAAATGCAGGGCTTTTTTAATGTTTTCCCTTGTCTTCTAAAAAATCAAGAGTGGATTTTTTTATGGTATAAATGAAGAGGGCAGATATGTGTTAGGAAGGAGTATATATATATACAGTAAGAAAATGTTTCCATTGACAGTAATCCCATTGGTTACATCTGGCTGTGAAGTTCTTTCACACTTGCTTTGCTGCTATGCTTCCATGTTGTTAAGCACCGTCAGTGGGGTAAAGGAGACCTGCCCCATCTCTAATGAATGGAATATTCATCTGCATTATAAAAAAAAATAACCCAAGAATGTTTGCTACATCTGTCCAAAACTAGGATGGACTAGTTTTGAAATAATTTCTGCTAGTGGTTACTAGTGCAAAATGAGGAGGCTTACCTGGGAAATAGTCCTGGAAAATATCCCAGAGCAGCCCTGAATTCTGAGTAGGACAGTGATTCCTGCGAGAGTAGGGGAGCTGAGAGAGCCGCAGGTGTAGAAAAGATCATCAAAGAAAGAATGCTGAGCTAGCAGAGACTTGTGCATTGTATGGGAGCTGGGAGCCATGCTCAGCAAGAGTTAAATCGGGTACCCAAGGGAGGGAAGAGAAAACAAGGAAGGGCAAAGGAGAACTGGCAGACAACAGGGCCAAGAAGATAATGAATATGTTGGTATCACCTGAGAAAAAGCACCGCAATTAATGAATAACTGTTGTCAGTGGAAGAAATGGTGTGCTCCATATATCAGTGGGCATAGGAAGGACTAAGGAAGTTTATGACTTTAGAGATTAGGTTAAAGAAAACCTTTTTGTACTTCAGTAATGTCCATTTTATCCCAGCACCCTGGGTCTTATGTTGAAGATGGAATAAAGGTCAATGACTGTCACAATTCTGAGTTATTAACATGGGGCTTTTGTACTGATTCCTGTTTATATGCTTTTCTATGAAGACTGAATTATGCACTTCCAGTGTATGCATTGAAATGAACCTGTGGGCTGCTTTGATCTGTTTATCAATGGTTATGATTTAAAAATCATTTTGAATTTTTTACACACCAGCTGCCATGTGCATGCTAGTTTCCTTTAAAGCATAATATTTTGGCAGCTTACTTATTTACTAGTTTAAAGCATCTGGTCCCCATCATGGTCTAGTTTTCTTGACATATTTTTTTTTTCTCTTACAGTAAAGCACTTTTTTGGATTGGGTAAACTCATAGGACCCCTTAGCTCCTTCTTCCAGTCAAAATGATTTGATGAAAACCCCACAAACCACCTTTTAAGGGTCCATTGTGCCCTAATGTTACGCTTATCATTGGAGGGGTTGAAACTCTGTATCAGACAACAGGACACACAGTGGGCTGGAGTACATGTGATGCTCATTTAGGGAATTATCCCTTTTTGGGGCATTTGGTGGGGAAGATACAGTAAAGCTCAGAGGTGGAACTAAGATAGAATCTGTGGCTCCCGCTGGGAGCAGGAAAGAGATGCAATTTGTAGCTGTTGCTTATAAAAAGTGGCTCCTCTATCACTGAAGAACAGCACACTGGCATCAGAGCAGCTCTGAAGATTTTCATGTGTGGCTGTGCAGTGTGTGTTATACCCTGTATGTATGAGTTTAGATGCTGCAGTGAAAGTTGCTAGAGGGGAGATGAGGTTTTTAAATGAAGATAAATAGTATTCAGAATTTACTGGGAATTAATAGTGGAAAATAACCGTGTTGTGTCCAGCATTTGAACTGACAACAATAGCACTGAATGCTGTCACACCTTTTTTTTCCATGGTAGTAAAAGCTGCACTATCGGGATGGTCCTGCGTTTGTGGAGTGATACCAAGATACATCTTGATGGAGATGGGTATGAAACAAAAACATTTTAATGTCTTGAGGAATAAATTTGAGTGCCATAGAGAGCAAGACCATGGTAGCTGAGATCTGAGCCCAGAGGATATTAATGTTGATTTATTTTGCCCAGTTAGAGAGTTATTTTAAGAACATGTGCCCTTCTTAAAGTAAGGGAAAGTTAAAATTTAGGTTCTTTCTCCTCAGTCCATTTGATTGATCATTTATTTTTGCTTATTGCTACCTTTGTGCAATCTGATAGAATGGGTTAGATCTTATTAGTGATTTCTTAAAGCAAAATACACAGTATTTACTCATTGCAGTGCACTTGCACAAACATTTCCCTTGACATTCTTGTTTGCAAGAGCCATGTTAGATCATCATGTCACATAAAATCCCATTTATGATTCTGGTGAACTGTCCATGTCAACCCACACCTACTGAAGTGCCTTTGACTGATTTCACTTTGCGGTATGAGCATTACTGTCTTAGCAAGAAAACTGGTGCTTTGCTGAATGGAACATCGAATGTGTTGTATGATTTTTCCTTCTTTCTCTTTTAGTGGATTTAGTGTGAGCACTGCAGGGAAGATGCATATCTTCAAACCAGTTTCTGTGCAAGCTATGTGGTATGTATGTTGCTGATTTAATTTTATTAAAAAAAATAATTTGTTGTTTTAAAAAACCAATACATTTAGTGTTTTACATAGCTATTATTTAGTGCCTTTAGAAAAAAAATATTTTCTAAAAAGCTGGTTGTCTTAGCAGGTAAGTATGGTGAAAGGAGTAATGAACATGCTATTCAAAATCATTCCAAATGATCATAGAATCATAGAATCACAGAACTGGAAGAGACCTCAGAAGGTCATCAAGTCCAGCCCCCTGCTCTAGGCAGGACCAATTCCAACTAAATCAACTCGGCCAGGACTTTGTCAAGCCAAGACTTAAACACCTCTAGGGATGGAGACTTGACTACTTCCCTAGGTAACCCATTCCAGTGCTTCACCACCCTCCTAGTGAAATAGTTTTTCCTAATATCCAACCTGGACCTCTCCCATCACAACTTGAGACCATTGCTCCTTGTTCTGCCATCTGTCACTACTGAGAACAGCCTCTCTCCATCCTCTTTGGAACCTCCCTTCAGGAAGTTGAAGGCTGCTATCAAATCCCCCCTCACTCTTCACTTCTGCAGACTAAACAGACCCAAGTCCCTCAGCCTCTCCTCATAAGTCATATGCTCCAGCCCCCTAATCATTTTGGTTGCCCTCCGCTGGACCCTCTCCAATGCGTCCACATCCTTTTTGTAGTGGGGGGCCCAGAACTGGACACAATACTCCAGATGCGGCCTCACCAAAGCTGAATAAAGGGGAATGATGACATCTCTGGATCTGCTGGCAATGCTCCTCTTAATGCAACCTAATATGCCATTAGACTTCTTGGCTACAAGGGCACACTGTTGACTCATATCTAGCTTCTCATCCACTTCTCATCTAGCTTCTCATTCAAAATGATAAATCACATACTTCTGTTGAGGGCAGCTATACACTCTCTCGTATAAGCACTGCGGGAAATTACATGAAATAAAATGTCTGAATATGAGAGTATGAACATGTAGTTGCTCAGGCTGCAAACCTCATACTGACTCTGCATATTTTTGTAACTAGCTAAAGAGGTCATCTCAGGATCCCTCACTAATCTCATGGAATTTCTGTTGCTCTTTATTGATGTAGTGTTGCCCTGGAGTTCCTGTTGTCTGATAACTTTCCATGCAACCAAGAGTTTCACTTTGCAGCTTTTGATTATGTTGGCTGAGCTTTTATACTCACACCCTCCCACATACAGAAATGTCCAAACAGCAAAATGGAAATATTTGAAAATCATGAAATTCCTAACTACTGTGACCACAGATTACCTTTAATGGTGGTAGTTTTTAAGGAACTTATCCAGATACATAACAGAATGCATATATTTTGGCACATACATTATGCTGGCTGTGCTGGAGTTGATGAAATGTAAGCTCTTGTAACATGTAATAGGGAAGCAATGTGGATATGGGAAAAGATGTAATTTTAGGGATTATTTAGTACATAAACAAATAAGCCCCTTGTTACTGCCATTGTAAAAATATGTTCCTCTGGTTAGCCACTTCAGATGTGGTTAATGTGTTTAGTGTACAGGCAGTCCCCGGGTTACATGGATCCGACTTACATCGGATCCCTACTTACAAACGGGGTGAGGCAACCCCGCACTAGCTGCTTTCCCCCAGCAGGCCAGGGAGACGCGAAGCTAGCGCCCCTCCCCCAGCAGACCAGGGAGACGCGGAGCGGCTTTTCTCAGCAGACACCTCAGCTTGAGAATGAAGGACTGAGGGAAGTGAGTTGTGGGAGAATAAAACTGAGCTCTGGAGAAATGTTTGGCTAGAGTTTCCCCTACAATATGTACCAGTTCCGACTTACATACAAATTCAACTTAAGAACAAACCTATAGTCCCTATCTTGTACGTAACCTGGGGACTGCCTGTAATATCATCTTCACAACTGAAGGATTTTTTTTAAGTTAAATGCTATAATTTGCAAAAAGAAATTACCTAATCTGGACTCCATTTTTGGTGTGTGCCAGGGACTAGGAATGCTATTAAACATGCCTTTAGACTTCTTAGTAGAGATAGTTTGAAGAGTCCACATTTTTACTATTTTTTGGTCTGGGTTTTTAAGTTGGAAAAACAATTAAGTCCCAGCGGCCTTGTGCTGGTCTCTTGCATGGAGTGAATTTTGTCCTGTATTGAGTGGTTACCAGCTCTTGAGAGAGCATCCAAACCCTACTGTTTAGTGTTTGTGATATCTCTGTTGGAGGACAGAAAAAGCAAATCTTTTGTCATCAAGAAACCACACCAAACATAATACACTATGTTGAGAATAAGTCTTCACTGAAAACCTTCAGGGGCCTGGCTTCTGTGCGCTCCTACTTTCTAGGGTGCTCAGATTCTCCTCTTCTTTACTTTTGAAACTTGCAGGTCTGCCCTGCAGATCCTTCACAAAGCCTGCGAGGTTGCACGGAGGTACAACTACTTCCCAGGTGGAATGGCCTTAGTCTGGGCCACATACTATGAAAGCTGCATCTGTTCAGACCAGAGTTGCATCAATGAATGGAACACAATGCAGGACCTGGAATCGACACGCCCTGATTCTCCAGCATTATTTGTTGACAAGTCAGTTCTGAGTTTCATTTTGAATCTTTGTTCACTTCACTTTGTTCACATTCTCCCTTTCAATTCTCTGATAGTTTGATCACTTAACAGTTGTTCACACATAGTTTTGTAAAGTTTTCCTCTATAATCAGTGTTAGGTTAATGAACTTGAATCCTTCCCATCCTTTCTCCATGTAAAAAATACCGTGATGCATAGAGTATTCCTGGTGCCTTCTGCCTGGCTAGATAGTTCCTTTAACTTTTTTTTGCAGGCCAACTGAGGGGGAAAGAACAGAGCGATTCATTAAAGCCAAACTCCGAAGTATCATGATGAGCAAAGACTTGGAAAATGTGACCTCCAAAGAAGTAAGCAAATCTACCATTTGCTGGCATGCGATCATTAGGTTCCTGTTGTGTAGTAGAGTTTGGGAGGTAGCATTGTGTAATGGTCAGAGAGGATTGAGAGATAGAACACTTAAGATGTATATTTACACTGTTGCTTACATGATTCCCTTGTTCTTCTTGGATAAATCTGTTTTTTGCCCCTCTGTTTTCTCATCTGTAAAATGAGGCTATCATCAACCTACCAGTCGGAATTCTTTACATTAAATAACTGAAATATTCAGATTGGAGCTCCTAGAGGAGTTCCAGGTATAATGAGACCTGAAAACTGGCACACAGTGTGCCCTGAATATGGTCTTGATTGGAATTTTCTACAATAAAAATAAAAAAGCTATACAAATTGTTTGCTAGCATTTCTTCTTAGGCTGCCCCCAAAATGCTTAGATTATGCCCCCTGGACCTCTTAACTCCATTCATCTGAAGAAGTGGATTGTGCCCCCAAAAAGCTCATGATACCATCTACATGTCTTGTTAGTCTCTAAGGTGTTGCAAGACTATTCGTTGTTTTTAAAGTTTATTCTGTTGTAGTACATACTTTGTTGTAATGTAGAAAGCTTTGGTAGGGTTGGCTTTTAAAAGATGGCGGTAAAGAGGAAAATCTACGCACCTTACAAATGTTTGCCTCCTGACACGTTAAAAGTGAGAGAATTAAAAAGATCTGGTTCCCTTTTCACAATGATGCTGACATTTTTTGCTTCTTGTTTCTTTGGTGCTAGCACAGTGCTGGGTGTTCAACACTTCAGCAAATACTTCATAGTGCAAAATACCATAACAGATTTTTTTTTTGTGCATATCAGGTTTGGTATGAAAATGTATTTATTCACGTGCCCTTTTACTCAAGTTATTTGTCTCTGAAAGCATTTATGTATTTCTCTGTGGACTGTGTACGCACGCTCGCTCTCTAACAAATATGTATAATTTATTGGCACCTTCCTTTTAAAAGTGGAAAACGTGCCGAAGAGCCCATCATCTAGGTATGCGGTAATTTCCTAAATGGCAGATTTTGTCCTCTTCTGCCTCACAGATACGAAATGAGCTGGAGAAGCAGATGAATTGCAACTTGAAAGAATTCAAGGAATTTATAGACAATGAAATGCTGCTTATTCTGGGGCAGATGGACAAGCCATCTCTGATTTTTGATCATCTGTATCTGGTAAGCCACGGAGTCAGAAGCTGTGCTGGACTTGAGAAGGGGGCATCAGTCAAACACTAGCAGCCACTGGGTTCAGGGCAAGCTGTGTGTAGCGTAGGCTGCAGTGGAGAGAAATACTAACTTGTGACATTGCCTGATGTTGAGCCTTTTATGAAAGGAGACTAAAGGCATCCTTTCTTTCCTCTCTCTATGTTGCTTCCAAAGGCTCACATCCTGCCATTGCTTTCTGCTAGCTGTGCCTTTATTCCGAACACAGTGGGCCATGCTGAGGTGCTAGCTAGAGGGACAAGGGGGCTTTCTGAGAATGTGCTGCCTCAGTGGTCCTTTCCAGGCCAGCTCAGCTCAGGAGCAGAACACTTCATGGGTGTAGCATGGTGCTGTTCTAAGGGGGCTGTTTGTTTCATCTGGACTCCTCGAGCTGAGGAGCAGACCAATGTACAAAGGTGGGAGTGTTTGATTAGGGCCTGCTTCTAGGCAAGAGAGGGACTTGGCTGAATAGCATTTTGCTTTTGTAATCTGCTACATATTTTGAAGCGTTTGTTTGTTTGTTTGTTTGTTTGTAGATTTGTTTGTGCAAAATAAATTCATACTTTGACATTACCTACAGATATCAAATTTTGCATGAACAATCCTGCCACTTAAATTAGTTGATGGCACTACTTTTTACACCGGATATATTGGGTGAAAGTTTAAATAATTGTTTTTGTTTTTCATCAGAAAAAAATCATATCTATTATGTCAAAGTTCAGAAAAATATTTGCTAATAAAATTAATATCGAGTCACCTATTCAATTATCATTTTAGTGCAAATAAAAATTTTATTGTAACAAATCACAGTAATAGAAGCTTTACGAGTTTCTGATTCAAATTTACTATGTATGTTAATTATTCAATAAAATGAATAATGTTTGAAGTTGAAATCCTACAAATTTAAAACTGTTCTTTTACTTCCCTTTTGCAAGCACATTAATAAATTCTATTGCACATTTAATTTCTTGAACTTTCCTATAAATGTAGTCTATGCAGAATGACTGCCCAATCAATAACGGGCCTCACCTGCTGGTTATAGGTAATTGGCAAGGACTGCAATATGAGCATAAGAGCTTTTTATTCTGATGGAAAGAAAATAAGAGGTTGGCAGGGATTGATACAGTATGTGGGGAAAACAGCTCTCGACCATGTCCTGAAAGCAGCTCTGAGGGAGTATATTGTCAGTCCCTTTTCACAATTTATTCCCGCTGCTGTGACTTTTCCTGTGTGCACTGTAACCTGTTGCCCTGTTTTGGAAGCTAAGTAGATATAATGAAAAGTGTCCCAGCCCTTATTGTGCTTGGGTTTGTTTGGTTGGTGCACTGTGCACAGCAGAAGCTGCCCTTTATGGATTTATTTATTGTTTATAGGAATAGGAGTCATTTTTATTGAAGATGAGGTAAGAACCTACATCAGGACACTATCCAAGTATACCACTTTTGTGCCCTCTGTATTTTTGCTTTGCTAAATCAAAGGTAACAATAATGCACTAAGAGTCCAAAGTGCCTGTCACATGGCAGGCTTTTTGTAAATAATCAGTTTGAAAGGTGATTTGCTCTTTTAGTCTTTAAGGAGGCTCACAGTCAGAATGAGTCTTTTGCCACTAGATGGTACTCTAGGCAAAACTGGGAGTTGCCAGTAAATAGAAAGACTTAATTGAAATGGGTGCCGTTGTGTATGTTGCAGCAGTGTCATCTTTTCCATGATAGATGCAAAGACAATGTCGATAGGCCAGGGTGAATCGTACAGTGATTAAAAATCCTATTTGTCCTCTATGCACTCTGTTGTGGGTGTACCCTTGCAATAACCTCTCCCAGGGCTTCTAGGGGCCTTTTCACCCACTCACCTAGCCTGAGACTCCATGGTACTTGTGTACGAGTCAATTTATTTTGCCAAGTGTCTGAATAGTTTTCCTGTGCAATTTAGATTTGTTATTGAAACCAAGGAATGCACAAACCAAGGTTTGTGATGTGCTGGGAGCCACCCTGAGACGATCTGACTTAGCCCATGCAGGCAACCTAGCAGTTCCAAAGCTGCTAACTACCAGCCCAGCTTGGATCTGAACTGACAATCTGGGCATCCTGGCAAGTAGAAATGGATTTAATCTGTTGCAAGGGAGACGTAGCTTAGATAACTAGTGAACACTTTCTACTTATAAAGGGAGTTAAGCTCTGGGAAGGCTTCCTAGGAAGGTTGTAAAATCCCCATCACTGGAGATTGTTAACAAGTTGGACACTGTAGCTTGAAATTCCCAAAGTTGCAAAGTGCACCTGTCACAGTTGACAGGTTCTTTCCATTAGTGGCTAATACATAAGTTATTTAGCAGGTGGGACTGATGAATCTCGGGGATAAGAACATATAACTGGAAAAGACCTCAAGAGATCATCAAGTCCAGTTCGCTGCCTTCACGGCTGGACCAAGCACTGTCTGTATCATCCCTGATAGGTGTCTGTCTAATTTGCTCTTAAATATCTCCAGTGATGGAGATTCCACAACCACCCTAGGCAATTTATTCCAGTATTTAACCACCATGACTGTTAGGAAGTTTTTCCCCTAATGTCCAACCTAAACCTCCCTTGCTGCAGTTTAAGGCCATTGCTTCTTGTCCTGTCCTCAGAGGCCAAGGAGAATTTTTCTCCTTCCTCCCTTCCCCTTGTAACATCCTTGAAAACCGCTATCATGTCCCATCTCAGTCTTTTTTCTAAACTAAACAAGCCCAATTCTTTCAGCCTTCCCTCATAGAACATGTTTTCTAGACCTTTAATATTTTATGTTGTCAAAAGCTTTATTTAACATCCAGATACATCAAAGCAGTAGTGCTACAGAAAAAGCAGCAGATACATATAATAAGAGAGTCCGTAGTTTTGTCACACTGACAAATTCCTGAGGCATATGGCAAATTCAGCTAGAAGAAGGCAATCAATGGAGTGCAACTGTATGTGGAAAGTAACAGTCCTGTTTACATCAACCTCTCATCCTGATGTACCCACGAAGGGTTGGGTACACACTTTATTTAGGCACCTCTCCTCTCTTACACCCACATAGTTCCAAGACCAGATCTGATGGTGTTCCAGCCCCTTCTCCTATGTTGTCTTGCAGGAAATATTGACTACCTATAATTAACTTCTGGGTTTGACCTAAGCTATTTGCATCATTCCCTTACCCAGTACATTCACTAAGTCATTGCAGTTAGCTCCATGGATACAAACACTCCATCAAATCCTCCATAAATTCACAAATTTAATTTATTTTTGCATCTTTCCTATTCCCTTTGTTTGTCCGAAGATGCATATTGCTCATTATTCTGAGTGTTCCTCCATGTGCCTTTCAGTAGTCTTGATTTTTGCTCTTTCCTGTTAAAAGCACATACTAATATATAACAGCCTAAATCACAAATCAAGTGAAGAGCCATAGGGTGGAAACATAGGAATAGTCTAGGCATACTTGCATCCTTCCTCTGCACAGGGAGATGGATTGGATGGCCTCTTGAGGTCCCTTCCAGGCCTCATTTTTATGATTCTGAGATTGTAAGCTCTTCGGGGAGGGGCTTTTTCTTTGTGTATATACAGCATTTACTATAGTGGTGCTTCCATTTTGTTTGGGCCTCTGTGTGCTCTGTGATATAAATAATATCGGCTTACTCCTGATTTTAACTTTTTCTAGGATTTCTTTCTGTAGAATGATTCCTCTGTCCCTCCCACTAACTTTCTCTTGCCTTAAAGATACTCTTAACCATTTATAGTCTTGGGTTGGAGCTACTCGGATCAGCCCCGTTTGGTTGCCAGGCTGAGGCTGCAGAATACCTCTGCATCATTATTCAGGGCCCTGGGACACCATGCCCTGTGGTACTCTTTGCAGACACCATTACCTAGGTTTCAGTTCAGTGCTTCTGAGAAACTATTGCCTACATTCCATGGAATGTGGCATTTGGGCAGTGAATGTGCAAGTGCCCTGCAGAACGAAAGCTTATATATTGTGTATACGTCTGACTTTGTGTCCTAGGGGTCTGAGTGGAATGCCTCCAACCTGGAAGAGCTTCAAGGCTCAGGGTGAGTACTGGACCTTTCCGCTACTTGATGTCCGCTCTTACGCGTTAGACACTTAAATCATCAAATCACTTGATTTAATAACATGTTCTGGTGTCTTGTGACATGTTAGATGATCCTTTCAGGCACTTCCATGGATAGGGCACAGGACCTGGGCACTTGGATTCCATTGGACCAAATGCTTCCTCTCTTTTCCATCACAGTTTTCCCACCTGCACAAGACAGTCTTTGTCCTCATTTATAAAGTGCCTTTATATCGAGGGAAGTCATATCCTGTGTAGGATTCTAGTTAATCCTGAGCAAACTCATTACTGTCTGAGGTGTGAATTCCCAAATACTTCAGAAGATTACACATTACAGTATTTGGGGTAAAGCTCTTATCTACGTGGTTCAAAACTCTGTGGAGATGAGCAGAGAGTTGTGTGAATTGTTCTCCATTCTACTAGTGCAGACAGGTGTCTGCAGTATTATCTTTCAGTGATCTCTCACCACTAAACCTTTTTTGGCTTGATTTGCAAGAGGGAATTTTGAGTATAAATACTCGCTGTTTGCCCAGGACACATGTGGGCCCTTATTATGAGGCTCTGAAAAGTTATTGCTCAGCAGCAGGAACAAAGATGTTTAAATTCTAGTCCTTGGGAGCAGATGTCTGAACACTTTTGAAGAAGTAAAACAACTAACATGTTAATCCTTTGATCTGTAGTGATGGCATCCTTGAAATGCCATTTTTAAAAGTTAAAGCTAGATAAATCTTTGAGTAAATATCATGTGCTATTGATTTGTCTGAATGACATGAAATAACTTAATATGGGCATTCTTTCATTCTCTCCTGGTCTGAGCCTGTTTTATTATAAAAATCCTGCTGTTCTATCCTGCAGAGGTAAAATAAAATTATTCCACTTTAATTCATATTTCTGGTTGGAAGGAAAGAAGAAAGGAATTGCAAAAGCACAAGACAGATTCAGGACTCCTTGGTTCTATGATTAGCACTGTTGTTGATGATTCACTGTGAGACTTGGATCAAGTTTCTCTATCTCTCTCTGTCCCTCATTGTAGAGTGGGCATGTCCCTTTCCCTCCGTGCCCAACTTCCCCACCTTTACCTGGGATCATGATAGTTACCAGCCTGTGAAGAGAGAGGAGTTAGGGAACTCAGTTCAGCAAGCCCTCCACATGTGGAATTCCAGCTGATGTAATCAGAAGCAGAAGGCACAAGTTGGGGCTGTTGATCATTCCATGCAGTTAGAGCACCTGTATTACATTGGGTTATGAGTGGTTTATCGCTTGAATTCCAGTTCCTCTTTCATAGTGATAATTAAGCTCTCCACCTTCGTTTCCCTTTGTATCCTGCAGCATCTACTACATTTTAAATGTCACAAGGGAGATCGACAATTTTTTTCCTGGTCTTTTTGCCTATCATAATATTCGGGTGTACGACGAGGAGACAACAGACCTCCTGGCTCACTGGAACGAGGCATACCATTTCATAAACAAAGCAAAGTAAGTGGATAAAGAGGAGTGAGTCAGTGCTTGGGGCAAGAACCTGTCATCAGAATCTATGGAGCAAGGGCGAGTTCTCAGGTGACACTAATGCACATCAACCTGCAGGGGGTGAGGGAGCTCATGTAAGGATGGTGTTGGGTCTCACCATGCTGCTAACAAGCAGTTCAGCAAAAGATCCAGAACTGCTTACAGAAACTCATTTGAAACCTGCCTGCCTCAGAATGATCAGTCACAGAGCTGTGGTTCCTGTTTCTGGGCAGATGAAATGAGAAATGTATTCAGTATAAGGATGTTAAGAAGTGGGTAATTGACTGACTGTGTACTTGGTACAGTTTGTATCAAGTACATGGTTAGTTGATAAGGGGCCCTGCTGCGGTTATTCAGTTTAAATGTAGTAGAAACCAAGCACACAGGTAGCCCAGCTCCTGTTACATTTAAACTGCAAAGATGCAGCAGGGGTAGGTACCAGATCTGGCATGCCAGGACCTGGACCTACCCCGCTACAATTCTGCCTTATAAATGTAGTAAGAGCTGGGCCATTCTTATTACATTTAAAAGGTAGAGGCGCAGCAGTCAGGGACACAGTGCGAGCCAGGACTGCTGAGTCACAGCTTGTGCCAGGTCCCAAACCTACTACTGCTGCATTTAAAAGAGGTACTACATTTAAAAGGAAGAGCTGCAGCGGGGTACATCTGGGACCTGGCACAAGTCGGAACTCAGCTGTCCCGGCTTGTCCTGGGGCTCTGACCGCTGCACATCTGCCTCCCCTGAACTTCCCCCACATGGTAGAGACAGTGCTTTCTCCACCACTGGCTCCTGCTTTCCCCCCCACCATGGCCTCTGATATAGAGGCAGCAGGTGAGGGGGGAAGCAAATAGTCAACTCAACTACTCTTACATCCTTAATTCAGTAGAGAAGTAACCATTCCCACTGTCTTATCACTGGAAACTCATTGCTTAAGGAGAAGTCCTGGAAAGTATCCATGCATCTGTTCTGGCTTTGGCCTTTTCCTCAGCATCCAGCTAGTTGTCCTTTGGTTTGGCACAATAATTTGTTCAGTGTCTTTGCTACCATGTCAGTTAAGTAGCTCTTCCCTTTACTACCATTGCAATTCAGTAGCTGTCCCCTTGCGGCTTAATTGCTATGCTCTTTCTAAGGCGATTAAGAGGGTGCTGAGATCCCAGCTCTCGCAAAAGCCTTTGAAAAGGGAGTTCAGTTAGGCCCCTGAAAGGCGCAAATACCCCATCTGTACTGTCAGTGACCAGTCATTAACCCCTTCATAATCAGCCACAATTGCGCTGAGATTTTATTTTCAGTGCTTATTTTTGTTTCACTTTTTTAAAAACAGAATGTTTGTTTCCAGTAATGATCCTCTGTTCTGCTTGTGTTTACACCCAGTGTCCTAAAAGATGGCAAGAGCCCTCAAGGCTCCTCCTGATTAAAGAGAACATTTTGAAATCTTTGAATTTTTTTTTCTGTGATAGAATAAGCAGAACAATGGCTCCTGGCAACACCTAATGACATGAGCCACTCCCATTCTACCAGGGTTTCAGCATGTGAGTTTCTCCTGCTTTGCTGCATGTGGCTTGTAATTTTATGGGCTTTTCTTCTTTCAGATATGTATGAGAGAGCTGGACAATGACACTTGGTTAGTTTGGCCTTTCTCATTAGTTTGCCAAATTCTGCCCTAAGTTACAATGAAATCATTAGGACCGCAGGAGTGTAACTAGCAGTTGAATTTGACTTTGCCCATCAGCCACAATGCCATGATTAATAGTGGGTTCAAAAAGTAAAGGGCTGCATCTGAAGCTATGGAGGTCCTGTCTCTGACGGATTGGTGGCCCAATTTTGCCAGGTGATGTAATGGGTGTTGAGGATTCTGAAAAGCTTCTACCCACTTGTGAGCCAGTTGCCTTTCCCCTACCTTTGAAGATGGGGGCCTGTCCCAGGGGCCTTCTTGCCGTGCCCTGCTGGGCCCCCAGCGCTGTGACTTGCTGTTCAGATTCCACCAAACTCTCAGTGGAAGCCTCTTTATTTGTGAGATGTCTTGCTCTGTGATTTTCATTTGGGCTCTCTGTCCTCCGGGGCACAGTGACAGAGGTGCCCTAGTGTGCAGCGAGCAGTGCATGCGGGTCTGGTAGGGAACTCGTTACACCTTTGGGTTCACATCTCCAAAGACAGGGACATGGAGACAAAGGGAACTTTGGGTAGCATCTGAAATAGCAGTGTGTTTGGGGTGAGAGGAGAGCATGAGGAGTGTCGCCCTTCTCCAAACCCTAACTTTCCTTTTGGACCATTTAACCCAAACCAATTAACCCCCCTGAGCTGTGACATTGACTTGGTCAAAAAAACAAATGATCATCTGTGCACCATATAGACCTGTGATAGTACAACTTAATAAATAGAAAGATTTGAGATCTAGTTTCTCTTATTTTTTACCTTCTTCTCTAGGAAAAATCATTCTAAGTGTCTGGTACACTGCAAAATGGGTGTTAGCCGATCTGCGTCTACGGTTATCGCTTATGCAATGAAGGAATTTGGCTGGTCCTTGGAAAAAGCCTATAATTATGTGAAGCAAAAACGCAGCATTGCAAGACCAAATGCAGGCTTCATGAAACAGCTGTTGGAATATGAAGGGATTTTAGATGCAAGGTAAGATGGTGATGGGTGGAATGAGAAGGTGATTTGTAAGGGGGAAAAAAAGCCTCTGGTGGACAAGGATGTCTCTCAAAGCGGGATCAGCAGTTTCGAGTTGTGTGTACACAGATGTAGGGCTTATGCTAGGCAAAAGAAAAACAAGTTAAAAATTATCAGAGAGCTGGTTGGAAAGTGGGCAGAAATTGTGATGAAATGGTAAGGCCTGGTCTACACTGGGAGTTTTGGTCAAACTTCGCTGCATTATTTTGATTTTCTAAACAATGAGTCCACAGCCCCAAGCCTGTTCCATTGACTTTAAGAGCCATTAAAGTCAATTTCAGTACTCCTGCTTTTCATGAGGAGTAGTGGTAAATTCGACCTTGGATGGTGAACTTTAGGGTACTTCAGACACAGCGCTGTGAAAGGCAATGTTCTTGGCCTCTGGGAGATATCCCATAGTGCCTGCTGTGACTACTCAGGCCAGGACTTTCAACTATGCTGCTCTCCAGGAAAAGCCCTGGGAAAATTTGAATTTTCTTTTCCGTATGGCCAGCATGGTAAGCAGACATCAGAGCAGGCAGCAGAGCTCAGCAGCACACCTGACCATGACTGCCCACAGTTGCAAATGAGCATTAGCATGGTGTGTGCAGGAGATCCTGGACCTCATCACTGTGTGGGAAGAGGAATCTGTGCTGGCAGAACGACAAAGCAGCAAAAGAAACACTGATATCTATGCTAAGATCACAGTGGGCATGGAGGAGAAAGGAATCTGTTGATTCTTCACAAGATACTCCTCAAGCAGCCTTGAACAGAAGCATGGAGAACAATGTGGGAGAGGAGGATGGGAATGGTCAGCAGGTGAGGGGAGACACCCAGGACCTTTCTATAACTTGAGACACAATCCTCTCCTCCCAGGGCATCTCACTGCCAGGCCCTGATGTCAGGGAGGGCACAGCTCATGTTTTCACATTTTTTATCCTGCTACAAGTGGGTTAAGGCAATTGGGTGTGATCTATGTCAGCTACTCTGCCTACACAGCCAGGGCTCCCCAAAACAGTTTGTCCATCTGTTTGGAGATGGAGCAGGAATCCTCCCTGCCCATCTCCGTGAAGCTTTCATAGAGGAATTCTTTCATCTTTCTTACAAGGTTTCTGGGGAGGCCTGTCTGTTTCCGTCCTCCACGCTAGGACACCTTCCCACGCCAAGCCAGCCATAAGTGATCTGGTGCATTGCAGCAAAAAGCACTGCAGAATGAGATCCAGGTTTCTGGCCATATTCAGTCAGCATCAGCTTCTTATCACTCTGTGGCTTGGAGAAAACTGATGTCGCACATGGCAACCTGGGTGAAGCAGGGGAAGCTATTAGCTGATGCCTTTGCAATAAACCTCCATTTGCTCATCCCCCATGAAGCATGGCTTGAGTTCCTGCCATATTGCCACATTCAGTCCCCATCCCACCCAGAGGCTCTTTGGTGTCTGTGAGCCTCTACCCTTCTGCTGTATCCAAATCCCCTTCCTTCTCCTGCCCACATGCTCCTGCAGGAAGGGAAATTTGCACTGTCCTGACAAACAGGGGGTGCCGAACACACAGTCAATGTGAGCCCTGGTCCTGCCTTTCCACCATGCCTGGACCCGCTCTGCCCACAGGCTCTCCCTTACTATGCCTGCCACCAAACTGAGTCCAGCTGCTCCCCTACAATCTCTGTGATGGGTGCTTAAAAACAACTGTAGCTTTTTTTTATAACACATTCCTGTTGTTTTTGGACAGATCTTCTTTTATGCTAAGAGATTAGGTTTTACAATTTATCTCCTGTCAAGTTTCCGCTTCACTTTTCGTTATAGCGGATGCAGCAGTGAACATATTGCACACTCCGTGGCTCATCCAATTAGCAAAAATCTGAAGGCAAAATGTATTAGGGATGACACATTAAAAGAGCAAATGCAGTCTGATCACTTGGACAGGGAGCGATTAAGTGAATGGAGGAAAATGCTGCTGTGGAAGATGTGAGGAATGTGAGGACAGGATAGTATGCAGGGAACTCGAAGTGAAGAACCAGGAGAGAGTCTTGACGGTCATGGCAGACATAATGCACATAGTGGACTTCTAAAATACCCACATAAACAAGCACCCACTCCAGCTCTTGCAGACTCACATTCCCTTCTCACCAAGTTCCATACCTACCTCTCCCAGAAGTTCTAGAAAGCATGAGTGGGAAGTCATGCTCAGCCTCACTTTCATCCCCAGGGATGCGTCCCAGAACAAAAGGCTGCCTGCTTCACACCTGTGATTGCTGCACAGAGACTTTTCCTACTCCCCACCTCCCGAAGTTCCCATCCTGAACTCTTTTTCTGTCCCTGCTTCCCTGAGTTCCCTAATTAAAAACACATGATTTCTCAACAACAGTCTCTATGCTTTTGTTGAAGGGTGAGAGATGGAGGGTTTATAGGCAATCGTATTTAATGCAAGGGGCACCTTATTAAGAGCAACATACATGACTGTCATATCACTATCTGGCCATTCACAAAGCTGTTTTTCAAAGCCTCTCTGATTTCCAGTGCCATTTGCTGTCCTCTCTTTATTGCCTTGGTGTCTGGCTGCTCATAATTACTGGCTATGTGTTGTGCCTTGGCCCTCCATCCTGGCATAAAAATTTCCCCCTTCCTTTCATAGATATTATGGAGCACACAGCAGGATGTCACGACAATGGGAAATGTGCTTTTGCTGAAGTCCAATCTGGTCAGTAGGCTGCGAAACCTTCCCTTTTAACATCCAAAAGCACATTGTACCACCATTCTGCATTTGCTCAGCCTGTAGTTGAACAACTCCTTACAATAGCCCAGGTTCCCTGCATACAGCTTCATGAGCCCTGGGATCAAAGGGTAGGCTGGATCACCAAGGTTCTCTACTGGCATTTTAACACCTCTGATGTTAATTTTCCAATCTGAGAAAGAAAGTTCCGGTTTGCAGTTTTCAGAAAAGACAAGTTCCTTAAGATATACGTCATGCACCTTTCCTGTCCATGCCATTTTGATATCAGTGAAATGGCTCTTGTGATCCACCAGCACCTGCCGCACCATTGAGAAGTACCCCTTCCAGTTTATGTACTTTTGGGCATGATGGTTGGGTGCCAAGATAGGGATGTTCATTCCATCCATCTCTCCACCACAGTAAAAGAATCCCATCATGGCAAAGCTACCCACTATGTCTTGAACGTTTCCCAGAATTACTGTGTATCATAACAGAAATAAATTGATCATCTTGGCTACTTGGATCTCAACAACTTCCACTGTAGATTTTCCCACTCTGAATTGATTCCCAATTGACCGGTAGCTATCTGGCATTGCAGCTTCCACAGGACTATTGCTAATCACTT